AGTTCAATATTTTAACCTTTAGAACTTACTGGTAAGCCCATAAGTGCATACAACATGCTAAAGAAGTGCACTTCAGAAAGGCTCAGAGCCTGGATCAATTGATTTGGGCTCGCAGGGCTCCTGCTAAAGCACTAAAAATAGCAGTGTAGATGTTTGGGCTGGAGCAGTCTCTGACACCTGGTGAAGGGAGAGGGTCTCAGAGCCTGATCTGCAGCCCTAGCCTGAACATCTCCATTGCTATTTTTAGCCCCATAGCATGAACCCCAGTCAACTCATCCAGGCTCTGAGACTTGCTGCCAGGGGATATATATATATTATGCATGTAGAGGTCTCTGCAGTCATATTATAGGGTACATTAACGGAGACCAGATCCTTGATGGATGGAAGTAGACTCAGCTCCAAGGGACATCAGTGGAGTTATGCTGATTTACAGCAGTTGAGGAAGTGGCCCATAGTATTTGAATTGATGAAAGATGATACAATACTGGTAAGATTAATCTCTGGTATAGGTAGCAATAGGAAAGAGTATTCCATCTACAAAACATATCTCATCATGCTAAATTCTAGACGTCAGAAGTTAAATTCCAATAGCTGGAAGGAAAGTTGAATTGCAATTCTAGAATTATCTCTACCAATTTATAAGGAAAGAGGTGTGAAAATGATCCTCTTCCTATGGATGATCCACTTGCAAACTAGCAGTTCAAGCTAAAAGCTTGTGATGAATTTTATTTGAGAGGTTAGAAACTTGAAAAACCCCATCAAATTGTTAAAATGAAAAACCACTACTGCAGTGAGTATATACTGAAATATGAAAAGGGTTCAAATATATCAACTTGCCCTCATTGCACAGACTGTGTATATTTAAGAGTTTAATACAATTAATATAATTATCTAATGTGCAATGTAGATTAGTGTACAAGGGAATGTTAACATTTTGGCTCCTGATTGTTATGTCTGCTTAACACACTTCAACTTATGCACATCTGTCCCTGGCCCCAAGGAGCTGTTCCAGCAGACAGCACTGAGAGGCCACAGCTATGTCTCCATTTCCCTAAGAATGGCCCCTGCCACAGGGAAGCATAGCATTTCCATGGCTAATTCTACACCACTCAAGGATTTTATTGGTTGTTTTGTGTTGGCATCTGGGAAGGAATCTCTCAAACAGGTAGATGCATTATATATGAACACCCCTATAACAGAAAGCAGTCAGTAGGAGCTTGGCTGGCACCTTCAGAGGAACATTCATTTTCAAATTTAGCAAGTTATTACATTTAGTTTTACATATTGCACTTGCCTCTTAGCATCCCTGCCCTTTTGTGGCAGTGCACTCATTTTCCTCTTCACATTTCTCTCTTCTCCCTCCACGTGCCTCCCTCACTACCCCTCCCTTCCCCCCACATCAACACAAACTAAGTGACTAGAGCAGGAAACAGTGACACTAATGATACATGCAAATCCTGTTTAAAAACACACCAGACCTAACTAGACAAGGAGGAAAAAATATTCTAATCTTTCCAGTATAGTAGTTTCAGGTGTTATTTTGTAATATGAGTGGCTAAGCTTTCTGAAAAGCATGCTTTTAAATTGACTATATCCCTTTAACAAGGAGCTTTTCAAAACACTTTGCAGTTGGAGTTTCTTGCACCAATGTTTCTTTTATGGATTGGGGGTGGGAGATAAGCAACAGCTTCCCCAGATATGGGGGTAACTTGCTTATTCTCATTACACTTTTAAAGTTTAAACCACATCCTACTCATGAATAGCATATGTTCTTGTTAAGCATACCATCTGTATGAGGGAATTTAACTGAAATTAAAGCTTTATTTTTCCAGTATATCATATTAGAGAAACTAGGAAATCCCTTAAATTTGGAATTCCTTTAACATTTTCTTTCAGAGTGTATTTATTGCACAATTCATACACAAGTTACAATACATTGGAATGCCTTTAGCTATCAATACAATCAGTAGTGTATAAGTTGTATCCCCATATCAATCCTTTAAGAAATCTTCACTTTAATGCTAAAATACAGAGCATAAAACAGCAATTTCATACGGCCTCCACCAATAGCTATTTACACTGATTCACAGTCAAACATCAGACTTTTGAAACCCACTACCATGTTCAAATTAACTTGAGCTTTTTCCAGAATTCATCTAAATGTAGTATTTCAGACTATGAAATATTGCCACTGCTGAACTATATTTTTCAGTGCTAACATACTTTCCTTTTATAACATACAGTACATACTTTACAAGGCACACATTACAGTAACTACATCACAGTGTGCATTACAGAAGCTTAATTTAAAAAGCTGTACAGAATATAAAGTTTACATTTTCACTTTTTAAACAAATTTACAGTTTTTGCTTTAGTTAGTGCTGGGTGTCACTATGTTATGGTTAACAACCTATCTGCATTCACTACAAAGTCACATTTTAGTGAGTACATACAAGCCCTCACCAGAGAATCAGCATACCAAAAATCTCACTCCAGGAGTTCATTTCTTTTAATGTTTGAAAAAATAAAATCAATTGGAGGATTTAGTGATTTCAGATGCTTGCTTGTGGTTCAATATAAAAATAGCTTAAAAATTTAAAGGTTATTTTAACCTCCTGAATGCGGACTAATGCTGGGTAGAAAGGAATAAGAATAAAATGGTTTGTGTTTAGAAATGTTACTAACTATTTTAGTGGAAAAAACCCCAAAACATTATGCATTTTCAGCACAGGTTTTCATAGTATTTAGTGCAGCCAACTACTCCACAATATTTAGTGCAAACAAGTAATCCACAGTTTTTCTGAAGAATCCAGAAGGACTCACTGACATCATAGGATTAAGAGGAGGAACCAGTTAATTGTTTTAGATCTATAAACTCAGATTTTTATAAGATGCCTAAATACAGATTTACACAATAAGCCGTAACGGTTGTGAGGGTGAGTTGCACAGGATGTCAGTCTTACTTGGCTCACTCTATCTTTGAGTCTGACTCCTCTGCCATAAGCCAAACTCAAATGTTTGTCGTATTCTGTACAAGTTTCCAAGTACAAAAGTTTGACAGGTACATAGGTAAGACTCCCAGGGTTTGGTCCCTGGGTATTGTTACTAGTCACTCTTCGGTACGAAATATCACAAAAAACTGTGGATCTGTAAGTGCAGAACCTAGCCATGACAGTTTTTGCCTGAAACAACACTATGTTTTAACAGGTATGGCAAATGAAACTGCAATTTATACAAGAATTTGTTGCCATTTGTATTCAATGGAACAACTGCATGTAAGTGTATCTGTATGACTCCAAGTGTTAAGTCAAAACAGTTCAATTTGTTAATTGCAAAAAAGAAGAATTATATTAGCTCAATATGTCATTTATGTATGAGAAAATTCAAAGTCTGTTCCCTGTGCACTGGCACTGACAAACTTCTTTTAAAAAAATATAAACTTAAATATTTCACTGCATAAACACTACAGAAGTATCTTGGTGAACTCCTATCATTACTTCCTTTTCACCAGATTTTCAGAGCTGTAAATTCTATTGGAAGCAAAATGAAGTTATTGTTATCAAAGCAGAAGTTTCTCTGCTACAGAAAGGCATATTGCACTTGTAGAAATAAAGTACAGCACCAGTTTAGCTTTTTTTTTTTTTTAAAGTATGAATAATGTTGTGACTTGGAAAAATGGAGAAAGCGAAAAGCATCAGGACGAAACAAAGCCATGACAGCTACTGTACAATGCCTTTCAGTAAAGGGAGTTCTTTTCAGATACGCTTAGTGCACAAGACAATTTTTGGCTGTCGCTCATCAAAAAGCTATGGAAATATATTGTTTTAATCTTAGGGACTGTGTGTGAAGCTGTTTAGCATAGTTTCGTTAGCTATGAAACTTTAGAAATCAGATAAAATAGCCTTCTAAAAGGTTTACTCTGCTAGGAAAAAGGGAAAGCACACATGTTGACACGGCTGGTTTCCGTAATCTCTGAGAATAGATTTAAAACACTTTTCTATACTAAAAATTACTACTGGTTTAACTCAAAACATACAAATACTAAACAGAAACAAATGACCACGGGTGAGGGAAGGGGCAAAAGATGCTTCTCAAATTTCAGCAATAAAACTTCACAGTTTAGTTATAATTGTGTAATCCTAACGCGTGTTAACAATCTTTATTCCTGTGAGTCATCCCACTGAAATCAGTGGGATGAGCTGTGTGAGAATGGATTACTTATGAGGAAAAAGGCTGCAGGGCAGGCCCTTTAATAAGAAGACGCTGCATCTTCTATAATAAAGTTCCATTTGTGGTATTCAAAAAGCTGGTGCACAATGCTATTATGTTATAATTAATACTAATAAAATTATTCCAATGGCTCTTAATCTTGTCAGAAAAGATGTTGTTAAAGTAAACTTTACAAGCGTTAGTGATTTAACAGTTTAGAGCATTTAATGAAGCTACATATTAAAAGTTAAGAATGCACCCAGACATATTAGCTCATATACCCTGTGTTTTAAAAGAATAGTGTAGCTTTAGCTTACAGCAACCAAAGAGACACCTAAATGAAATGAAGTATGGATGAATGGGAATGAGAAGAAAAAGCAGATGTTCATGACAATGAACTTTCAAGTACTTCTATCAGTAGTCATCATCATCATGGTCTGTGAGGCTGGCCTGCCTCATCTACCATGTTGAGTATATAGCTAGCAATGTCATCTTCTGTAGGTGCATCTGACACCACCCAAGAATCATTTGTCCCAGTCACTTGTAGACGGCAGATAGGACAGTTCCTGTGGCGATCACTCCTGTTTAGGAAATCAGAGAAATAGTTGGTTAAAAAAACAAAAACAAAAAAACATGCAGACTTCTATCTGAGATGCAAGTATTGCACAGCATCTGTTTTTACTGTCAGCCTTTGCATGCTCTGTATATTAAGAGACTGAGAAATATAACTGGATTAGGTGACTGCAAGCATAACTGAAAGCCCAATCACTTGAATAGTGCCTTTGTATTGTCTTTGCAATCAACATTAGTCAACAATTCTGAGTGCAGCAATATTCTTAAAGGTGATAAAAATGGTATAAAGATTGTCTTAGTGGCTCAGAATCATATTTTCTCAGGTTAAATAAAAAGGTTTTTCCAGTTCTAACCATTTAAGCCTAACTTGGGATCCAGACGTCAAACTTTGTTTTGACTCATACATCAAACAATAATAAAGACTATGCAATGGAATCTAGTTAACAATTTTGTCAATCAACCATCATAATGGAAACCAACTCATTCACACAGCAGAGATAGTGGGTTCTGCAGTGCTAACAGGCACAAAGTCCTACTTGTCCAAGGTAAGTAGTAAGTTTGATTATACACCGGGATCCAATTTCTTTGATTAAAGCTGTGTGAGTATTGTGTTAAAGACTTTCTCCTCATCAAGAGCTTGAAACAACCACAGAGAATCAAATGTAGCCATGGGTAAATGGCCAACTCATTTAAATTAATATGGATTGGGCCTGCTGCCCAAGTAAACCAGAGCTGAATTTGGCTCTCTGACTTTTCCCCATGATTCTAAAGACTGGCATGTTAATCAATATCATGTCCTCAGCTCTAACTTTAGAGCAAAAGGAGAGGCTAAAAGGCAATCGGTTGCTGGTATTGTGTCTAACTTGATACTATATTGTAAAATTAAAGTTATGCATACATTTCAAAATACTATTTAGTATTAATTAAAAACAAACTTTCCCCCACAAAAATTATTGTACTGGAGTTTTATCAAATGTAAGGAAAAATTTAGAGTATTTGACTGGTGAAAAGACTTCTCAATTTAATACCTAAAAATATTCCCTTTGCAATATGTTTATTCACAAAAATAATAATTGGGCATTCCATTTTGCCTTATGCTTGTAACATTTAAAGAGGACTAGACTAGTTTTTAAAGAGAAAAATTTTGTGGAACTTCTGACCTGAACAGATCAAGAGGCCAGATTCAATGCGTTTCCCCTTTTCCTCTTCTTGAAAACTTCATGCATGTCTACAATGTTTTACAGGAATTAAGACTAATATAGGCAACAAACTACAAAAAAAGTTTAACATACTTCTGAATCTTCTTCATCGATTCAAAGTTAATCAGTTTCCCTGTAATTTTTAATTAACTTGCTTTACATCTAATTATGCTTTATCAGCTACTTTCACTATTACAAGTGAATTCTCTGCTAGTCATTATTAAGAATTAGAGCTTTTTCTGGATCAAGTTGTTAATCAAATGCTTGCAAATTCTGAAGTGACCCTTCATCGCTCTGCTGCAATCCTGGTATTTGCTCAAGGGTTCTATCCATCACATTTACATTACTCAAAAGATATCTTTAAATATTAGAGCATACTGGTACAGAGAAGTCCTTCATACCAAAACCAAACATGTTAGAAATGAGCTCCCTTGTTAAGCACTTTACCATTTATCAATGCATTTCTGACAAAAGCTGTGAGCACATGGTAGGATCAAATCAGCACGTCCATCCATGCAGATGCAACATTCCTCCTCCTCAGTCAGCTGTTTAACCCTGCAATAGACAAAACAGTATTATTCAGTCAAAACATAAATTCAACACTATTCTTCTATCTCAAAATATTCTTTTTGTGCACATGCAGACTAGTTATTTATTTTTTGTAGATATAAACATTCAGATTAGTGATAAATAAGCAGAAGAGCGCTTAAGAACATATCATCCATTATGCAACCTGTCTGTGGCAACAATTGTGGCCCAAAGTCATCAACAAAAAACTGCAAAGGAAACTGGGGCTTCGCTGGGATTATGCAACCTATTTTTTGTATCGCATGATTCCTCTTTTGGTCTCACAAAGGGTTATATACTCATCACTTTGCATATTGACAAGTGAAGTCTGCAAAGTTCTTATTCTGAACCATTCCATATTGCATCCTTTGACCAAGCAGCGGACATTACATTTTACAATAAGGGCAGGGACAGACTCTGCCTTCAATGGCCAAAATGCTACCCTAAAGCAGATATAGCTTTTAATAAATTTAACTTTGAGTTTAGGCCAAATTTTTGTTTACTGGCTGGAACAGTCAACAGCTGATTTTTTTTTTTTTTTTTAAAAAACAGGATCCCTGACAGAATGCCTTTTCCATAATATTGCAGTTGATGCTGATGTCAGAGACCAGCTGTTTAAAGATCTCCTAGGGGGCAGGTTGAAGTCTCTCTTCAAAATACTGCACTGGAGTACTGAACATTGGGGGCAACATTGCAGAAAGGGTTTCATTTAGTGGCATTATATTTCTAGAACCACTGCCCTGGTTTGTGACTGTTTAACAAAGGTGAGAGACTAATTTGGGTGGTCTTTTGATTAGATGTTTTGTGAACTATTCTAATACAGAATGGATGCCAGCTAATGTAATGGCTAGTAGTTCAAGTGTTTTTGTTCTGGTCCTCAGCACTTCTTTCAGGGCCAAGTTTATGCCTGGGATTTCCTTTCCAAAAATAAGAGAATCAGTAATTTGTAGTTTATTTCAGGCTGTTGTCAATGAGAAGACATTCTTTACAAATATAGGTAGTGGTTAGGATATAGCAAGGCCTGCTGCCAAATATATTGATAACCATAGAAAGCATTTGAATTCATTAAAAAAAGAAAAAAAAAAAAAGTAGAGGTGGTTATGGACTGTAGGTCTTCTAAACAACCTCCTCTCCGTTCAAAAAAACCAATGATGGGCCTAGGATTGCCTTTTTAGTTTGCTACGCAAGGAACATTGAAAAGTTTCCCCATCCCCATCAAGATGGGGCAAAAAAAAGGTTAAAAAAAAACATATGTACTGCTATATAAATTATGGGACTCCATTCTCTGTTAATAGCTGTACTTTTCTATGACCCTATTTCTAAGTATGAGAGATTTACTGGTACACGCATACTAGTGTACCTGCTTGATGCACCATTTTCAGCAAGTTTCAAGGGGCTGGTATTTAGTCATAGGACCAAGCCCTTGAAAATACATGCAGCCAATTTATAAGTAATCCAGAGAGTAGAGTATTGGATACAGATGACATCCTGGAAGGTTTACAAGTTTGGACAGGCCACAAATGGAAAGCCTTAAGTTTTAAGGATGACATAAGCATTTGCTTATTTTTCACTAGTGTTAGATAAAGTTAGTAGAAACAATAAAGATATTTTAATATACTCTGGATGGGAAAGTAGATGCAACACAAGAGTGGGATGCTGTTTAACTGGAAGGGGTTAAGATGAAAGGAAAAAGTAAGTAGATAATATTCACTATTTTTGCTCAGTGACCGCTAGCTCTTGCAGAGCTAACAAAAATCTGAAAGGAAGCAGAGTTTAGCCAACTGAGTATTTCACACAAAAACCAAACAGATTAACCGGGTAGAAGAACACTTGAAAGGGCTTCACTGTTTGTTTTTCAGTGTCTTTAGATATAGAGGGACATGAAAAATTAGAAGATGCTAGCTAAGTTGACTCAAGCTCATTACAAATAGCATTTCAAAATCTTTGCTTCCATTTGGCAGGTATGTTGCCATGAGTGATCTGATTTACATCCATCAGCTCATTTAAATGGAGAGGACGTTGCTCTTGACCTCTCCCTTCCAAAAAACCCAAACAAACAAACAAACATACCCACACTTAAAAAGAATAGATTCTCTTATTCTCCATATATCCCATCCTTATTGCCTCACCTCATAATTGAAGACTAGTACAGCGTATCAAGCTTCCAAAAAAAGCCTCTTACAGCGATTATGCAAATGGGAACACAGTGTCCATCTGTCTGAGAGTGTGACTAAAAAGCAGGAAAATACCTCTTTCCCAAATATGCGTACAATATATTTGTTAATGGTAGTGTTAGTGCGTCAATAAATCAGTAATAAATCAGTCACTAAATCAGCCAAAAAACGTAAGACTGAATGTTCCTATGCAAGACAAACAGGAAATTAAATCAGAGAAGAAGAGTGTGTCTTGCTAAACTGTCCCATCCCAGTTTAGTTTATCATTCTTTGTAAGATGAGGTTGCAGTCTCTTTCCCCACATTGGGTAAGTAGTATTAGCAGGAATTTCACATGCAGTTCTCCCCCCACTCCTGCTATTTTTTATCCTTTTTGTGTTCCAGCTTATAGAACAGTGGTTCTCAACCTATTGACCATTGTGGGCCAGAATGCGTTACGTGGGCCACATCCAATACTACCCGTACGGCACTTGGGGTTTCACTTGGGCTGCAGCTGTGCGCTGACTGGGCCACAGATTGAGAACCACTATTATAGAATAACATAACTGGTGAGATTTCCTCGAGTTCCTGACTGAAGTGGGAGCACAAATCCCACTAAATTTTCATAGGATTTGTGATAAGTTACTTAGGTGCTCTTGCAATTTTGGCTCAATATTTCTTTTCAGTATTGCTGTGAGAATGCATTTAAGAAAGCTCAATGAAGACTATCAAAGTGATAGCTTATCCCCAAAGCTTTCGCTATCACCAGAGATGAAACAAGTTGGCAAGACAAAGATTTATTATACAGGAGTCATATTTGAATTTTTCCACTTTGAAAGATTCTACCACTGCAAAAGTATTCCTTACATTTAAGATAGGAAATGCTGTCGAACTAGATAATGTCCCTCAAAACTGAAGAAAGAGTGCCTGCTGTAAACATAACTTAAACAGGGGACGTATTTGGGATCAGGAAGGAATTTTCCCCAATGTCAGATTGGCAAAGACCCTGGGGGGGGTTTTGCCTTCCTCTGCAGTATGAGGCACGAGTCACTTGCGGGTTTAAACTAGTGTAATGGTGGATTCTTTGTAACTTGAAGTCTTTAAATCATGATTTGAGAACTTCAGTAACTCAGTCAGAGGTTAGGGGTCTATTACTGGAGTAGGTGGATGAGGTTCTGTGCCTGCAATGTGCAGGAAGTCAGATTAGAACAGTGGTCACCAACTCGTCAATCACAATCGACTGGTTGATCCTGGAGCCTCTTCTGCCAGTTGATCGTGATCTCCGGGCCGCTAAAAGTCCGGCAGTGCAACGGGGCTCAGACAGCTGCCTGCCTGCCTGCCGTGGCCCCACACCGCTCCCAGAAGCAGTTTGCTGCTAGTACGTCTCTGCAGCCCCTGGGGGGAATGGGAGGGAGGAACTGGCCAATGAGAGCTGCGGGGGGGGGGCGTGGGGGGGGGGGGAGGGCACAGGGCCCCGCCCCCCCCCCCCCCCCCCCCCCCCCCCCCCAGGGCCGCAGAGATGTGCCAGCTGCTTCCGGGAGCGGCATGGGGATACGGCAGGCAGGCAGCCTGCCTGAGCCCCTTGCGACGCTGACTGGGAGCCACCTGTGGTAAGCGCCTCCCGGCCAGAGCCTACACCTCACCCCCCCTCCTGCACCCCAACCCCTTGCGCCAGCCTGGAGCCCCCTCCTACACCCAAACTCCCTCCCACACCTCAACACACTGCCCCAGCCTGGAGCCCCCTCCTGCACCCAAACTCCCTCCCAGAGCTTGAACCCCTCACTACTGCACCCCAACCCCCTGCCCCAGGCTCAACCAATGCACACCCCACAGTTGAGAACGTTACACTGATTTGTGACAATCCCTGAAGGATTTTGAATCTATAAACCACAAATGACACTAATAAAAAGTAAAACTCATGAAATGTCCAGTGGATTCTATGAGATTGGGTGCAGTGTGACCACATGACACCTGTACCCAAAGTCCCTGCTAGAGCTTGCACCCCTCACTCCTGCACCCCAACCCCAGGCCTGACCCAGGCTCAGCCCCCTCCCACACTTCAAACCCCTCAGCCCCAGCCCGGTGAAAGTTAGTGAGGGTGGGGGACAGCGAGCGACGGAGGGAGTGGGGAATGGAGTGAGTGGGGTGGGGCCTTGGGGAAGGGGCAGGGTAGATCAAATTCAAAAAGTGATCTTGTGCGTAAAAAGGTTAGAGACCACTGGATTCGATGATCGTGATGGTCCCATCTGACCTTAAAGTCTAAGTCTGACAAGTATTTTATTTTCATACATCTTAAAAACAGAGAAACAGATACTGCCCACAGATTATAGCCATGCAACTCCCATGTTGCATGGCTCAGTGTTTGGATGCTGCACACTTATCTGAGCTTCGGTGTTGCTAAATGCTATTTTTTTTTTTTTAAAGATGCTGTCATGTATAATGAACCTCGTAGTCATGATTTTATATTACAGATCAATTGAAAAAAAGTCATTTTTCCTACTGGTGCTTTGTACAGCCATATCAAAAACCACTGGAAGTTTCACCTTACAAAACAAACTGTTTAAGACATTGAAGTGAACAGCAGACCAACAGTATAAGACTTCAGAAGCTTCATATCTGGTAGCCAGAACGACTAACTATCACAGAATCCCGAAGAGCAAGCCACATGTTTAAATTTAGTATATTCTTTCTTAAAGAATACAAACTACACCAAAGGAACCACATAACTCTAACAGCTCAAAGAGACAGGGCCAAAATATCCCCCTGCTAAGGAGTCAACAAGAGGATAAGGTGGCCTTTTCTAGGCATTGATATAACTGTACTAGTGCAAGCCCTAATGTAGACAAGCAAAGCCATTATTTGCCCTATAGGAGTCTAATTCTTCCTGAAATCAGGTTCAACTTCACTAACACAAATAGAGGTGCTTCCCCATCTACATTAGGAGTTTCATCAGTGTATCCACACGAGCGTCTGCTTTGGGAATTTTTCCTGTTCACAGCCAAAATTCCAGCATCTCTGTTAAGTGGTTTCTAGGCAATAGGTGTTCTCCCTTCTTAAAAAAGCCAGAACAATGACTTGTTTCGAAAGTGCAACAGATTTTTTTCCCACCACAAGTTCTGTGCACAGGGCCTCTTAAATTGCTAAACCAACTCTTGTATGTCAGTTTAAGAACACTGTACTATCTTTATTCTGAATAATCTTCCTTTCTCTCACTCCCTCAAACAACTGGAGCTTGCAGTCTGGAGCTTGCCAGCTTTGCTATAGTTATTTCCTCACCCGTTACTCAGAAATAGCATTGTTTTACAGCGAATGATTCCATTTAGGCCTAGTCTACACTGGGGGGGGTGGAGTCGATGTAAGATATGCAACTTCAGCTACGGGAATAGCGTAGCTGAAGTCGATGTATCTTATTTCGACTTACCTCCCGTCCTCACGGCGCGGGATCGATGGCCGCGGCTCCCTCGTCAACTCTGCTTCCGCTGCTCGCCCTGGTGGAGTTCCGGAGTCGACGGGTGCGCGTTCGGGGATCGATATATCGTGTCTAGACGAGACGCGATATATCGATCCCCGATAGATCGATCGCTACCCGCCGATCCGGCGGGTAGTCTGGACATACCCTTAGTTATCATTGTTTAAAACATCTCCCTACCTTACTTCAACTTTCACATTTAACTTTCAAGGTAATACAAACTTTACATTTAAACAGTTATCAATAGCAACTTTTCAACATGGAGATAGAGTGCAAAGCTTCTTGCCACTACATTCACGTTAACCATTTTATAAATTTTAAACTAAAAGGTACTGCATGTGCTGATCTCAATCTGTTGCTTTTCCTCCTAGCTAACAAAGCAGGATGTCAACACCTATGAACCAGTACATGTTTTTTTTCCAGTCTTACAGGTTAAATTATGGTTAGCATTGATGACTTTCAAATGACAACAGATGGGAATTTCCAAATGCCAAAATGTGAGGAAAAGAAAGTTTAAGTGGGAACAATAACATTAAGTCTGTGTAAACAAACATAACTGAAAACAGTTTTGTAGCCACAGCTGATTTCATTTCCTTCTGTTTCCTCACTCAGAAGAGACAACATATACTAGGTTTATATTAGACTATAATAACTAAAAAGACTATTCCAAGCCTATTGTGTACAGGCACCAATGGTGATTCAGAGTCAACTACATGATTACAAGTATTTACACCACATCCTTTTTGGTAACATGCTCACTGTTTGGCAGACAAAATCTGTTCTACCCACATTTACTGTGTTGGATGGTAACAGTTCAGATTTAATATGATTTTGGAGGGTGTACAGTTATTACAAACAAACATATATATATATATACACATACACAACCTGTAATATATTGAACTACCTTCCCATCCATAAGCTGGCCTGGCAAGATGACACAGGTGACAGACTTGCAGCAGTCCCTTCAGAGGCACTGCTCTGTGCAAGAACTCCTGCTGCTTGACTTGTGATGTCTTTATAAAGCTGAATAAACTGATACAAGTTCATAATTCTTGAAGCTTCTACAATGCCACTTGTTTTGTTTATCTAAAGATACAAAAGTTTATAAATAGATTTGTATTACGTAACAAAGAGTAAATTTATCTGCCATCATTTCTCAACATAGGTAGGTAGGTAAATATGATCAAATGCATTGGAAAATACGAGCTTACGTGTGATATTTGCATCACATTAGACTTATGGTATTCAACTATATTAAGCTATAATTAAGTAGAAGCATTTATGTCTAGAAACTTTAAGCATAAACAAAACCTTGGACAGAAATCTATTGTTTCATTTTTAGGGCTTAATTTAGCCTAGCCAGTATCTAAATTATACAGTACCCACTATCATGATTACAATGATGACTGTCTTGATAGAAGTCATCATGAAAATCTTGTTCTTCAAAGTACCTGCCCCAGCCCAATTTTTTATATGTAGGCTAAAAGTAAAAAATAAAGCTATATTAAAAATTGTTAGTCCAGAGAATAGTCTTGAGCTATGCTGGATTTGAACTCTAATTGAAGGAATTCAAGAGCTTTATTAAGATTCTGGGTATCACTTGACAAGCTAAAGTAACGTGTAAAAAAATTAAGAAAACTAAGAATGACAAAGTATTACAAAAAACACTATCAAGTGATCTATTTAAAAATGCAGTAAATGCTGTCTTTAAAGATACTAAAATAATAGAGGTTATGGCCAGAAGAGATCATAATCATCCAGTCTGACTTCCTGCACTACACAAGCCACAGAATTTCAACCAACAATTCCCATTTCAAGGCAAATAGCTTCTGGATGAATTAGAACAGTGTTACTCAGACTGAGGCCCAGGAGCCACAAGTTGCTCTTTAATGTGTCTCCTGAAGCTCTTTGCAGCACAGGATATTAAAACACTGTGTGATTTAAATATTAACTAAGCTAAGTTATTAACCAACCAGGATGCTATTACTATGTTATTAACCAATTGTAGTTGATAAAATAATACTTGGTCAGTCATTTTGCTGTGAGAATTTTATTTTTTATACATATAGAGAGAGAATAGCAATTGAAACAATGTATTCACACTACTGTGGCTCTTTTGAGTAATGCTGATCGCTAACTTGGTTCCTGAACTCCTGAGATCTGAGCATCACTGAACTAGAGCATCTATTTTAGAAAGACATGAAATTTTGATTTCAAAACCTTTGAGTGATGAAAAGTAATTAAAAACCTTGTGCCTTACTTGAATTTGCCTATCTTCAATTTCTAGTCATTTGAATTTGTTATGCTTGTTTGCTAGATTAAACGGTCTTCCAATACCAGAAATCTCTTCCCAAGTAGGTACTTACAAGCCATAATAAAGTCACCTCTTAACGGTCTCTATGAGATACATGGATTAGATTCTTAAGTCTCACCGTAAAGCAGATTTTTAAGAACTCAAATTATTCTTGTAGCTCATTTCTAAACCCCGATCAATTTTTTTCCAACATCCTTCTTGAAGCATTGACACCAGAAATGGACACACTATACCAGTAACAGTCTCACCAATGCCATATACAATGGTAATACCACTCCTTAATCCTACTTGATATTCCGCTGCAGTAGATTAACTCTTTTAGACTCACACCAACAAGTTGATTATTCACCTTTTAATCTTTTTCTGAGTCATCTCTATCCAGGATAAAGGATAGGGGACTGTAAGTGTTACCTAGATTTTTTGCTCCTAGAACTACAACTTTGCATTTGACTATATTAAAACTGCATGTTTGATTGTGCCCAGTTTACCAAGGGATCAAAGATCACTCTGAATAACTGACCTGTCATTTATTTACCACTCCACCAATTTTTCTTTCATATGCAAACTTTAAGAGTAATGATTTTATATTTCTTGCCATATCATTTAATAACATTAGGCCAAGAACAGATCTCCGTAGGAACGTCACTAGAAACCACCCTGATTCAGTAACTCCTCATTAGCATTGAGAACAGTTAGCCAGTTTTTATATCATTTAATAGTTGCCACATTGATTTTGTATACTGTTACCTTTTGAATTTCAGTGTCAACTTCTGGTTTTGTGGGATGAATATCAACTGCAAAACTAACAATTCAATATTCCAAAGTAGCACTATTTGCTTTCTTAGGATGAAGCATCATTGAACAAGTGTGTTCATTATGAGTTTCAGTAGGGCAGAGAGCCAAGATGAAGTCTTACAGTAAAAAAAACATTAAATTGAAGTCATACACATTTATTGCTGCATGTTACTTTTAACAGTGTCATGGAAACCTATCTTGCTCCTACAATTAACTGAAGTGTCACAATAAAGTCCTGATCCTGCAAGATCGTCGAACTGCTGTGAAGCCCCAATAAAAATGATTTGCCTACATGGTTCAGCTTGCACAATCAGGCCTAAACTAATACCATTAAAGGTCAAAGTTTCAAATTAAAGAAAGATTCACTTCATTTTTAAGAGTGTAGGAATTTTATCTCCCAGTGAAGTTCATTCTGAATGTCCTTTATTAATATGCAACCTCTGTCAAGCTTGGACTATAAAACTAAACTAATTTAGTCTCCAATTTGTTTCACTTTCTGTTTCTTATACATTAGAAAGATGTTCCAATGACTGGATTGCAAATCGTTCAAAAGCGGTCATGGAAATGTTACTGTTGATATTGACTTTTTAGGAAGGCCTAGATTTTAAGCCTAACTGTACTTAACAGTATAGGAATACCTCCAAATATTTTTGAAACATATTGTACTGAACAACAATTTGATTTTCACTGAAAAGCCATTTTTTTCAGTTACCTGCAGATTAAAAACCTGAGTTAAAGGTTCTGATAATCTTACCTTAGTACAGACTATCCGAACCACCACCTTCCAAAGAGCAGAGGAATCAGAACCTGGCTGCACTTCAAACAACAAATGTTTGTCCTGGCCAGAAGCCAACTTTGTGGTGCTGAAACACAGATGCATTAATCCGACATTATATATTAGACAGGCAATGCTTGGTGAAGTCACCTTTGAAAGAAACTTAGACACTGGCATCATTTACCCATCCACATTTAAACCTGAACAGCAGTTATATCAATGCCATAGAAATCAATAGGGTTCTTATGTGCCTAAAATTACTCACATGCATATTACTCAGGACCATAATGAGCTATGTAATTGCTAAGTATTATAGATACACTCTTAAATATAAACAAACAGGGTGGATAAAAATCAATGATTTTTTTTGAAATCGGATTTTTATTTAATCAGATTTTTTTGATAAAACGCTTTTTGAGGAAAAAACCTAACGATAATTTTAATTAAGATACATTATAGCTCAAAGATATCTCTATAGCTCAAAGATATCTCATCATGGAATAGGGATTATATATTCTAATTCTATAGTATGAGACAATATATTCATGTAATACATAATATTTAGTTAAATAAAACAATTTAAATGTCTGTCTGGTGATGTTCTCCTCCTAATACAGTATGGCAAGAAAATCCTCCAAATATTAATGATTACCTGTTGAATTGGAGATATTTATGAAGTCATTGGGAGGTGAACTATCTGCCTCAATTACCTTTGGTAAATGAAATAACCAATCATTCATTTTCTGATATAGTTGTAAAACTAATCTGAAAAGTTTTCAAAATAAATCACTTAAAAAATGTATAATATGTACCTTCTAAAAATGAAATCTACATCTCTGAGTTGTGAAGAATATGTATTAAGGTTATCACAACCAACAAGAATGCACTTTTATGTAGAAATCCATGATTAAATCGATTCTTTCTGACTAGTGATTAAATCAATTTGGATTTAAATCAAATCCACCCTGTAAATAAATGAAACATCAATAGATAACCTTCCAATTTCAGACCCCATATTCACATTCTAAATATTTTTCTTATACACAAACACTTTAAAAGGATAAATGAGGGCCAACACGCTATAATAAAAACATACACTGATATTTTTGTGAAATATTAATAGATTTGATTGAAATTATTTATATAGGATCAATCTCAACATGGACTTTGAGAATTTAAGGACATATATTTGAAAACCTGATAGCAGATTATGAATAAGCCTATCCAAGATACTATTCCGTACATAGTCTTTGTACAACACGACAATGGGAAAGGAATAAAGAACATGCAGCCTTACACATCATTAAGTTCAGCTACTCTCCCCAGAAACTCTTCATAAGTCAGAAAGCCACTTTCTCGAACCAAAGATGCATGTTTTATTACTTTTTCTGGCAACTTGTTAATAGCAGTGTGTGTCTGGTTTGAAATCTGTTGACCCATGATGAAATTCTTCAGCTCAATGTCCAGGCAGAAAGGAGGTTTCAGTCATTTGTGGAGCTTCTGCTAAATACATTTTAAAAAGTTGTATTAATATAAATTTAAGAGTCTCTGCTCCCTTTTCTCTCTTTCCTTTTAAGCATAGCAACCTATCTACTCACTAAGGAGTTTGGAAAATCACCCACTGATTACTAAAGACAGCCTTGGATAAGGGATACATCCATAACGTAACCCAGGAACAATGCAATAACACTTGTTGGAGTGTTACGTTTTAAAGTAGCAACTTGTGAAAAGGCATTCTTTTGTTCATAAATTTATTCCCATTATATACAGAATGTACTGTTTGAAAAACTCCACATTGCAATGTTTTCAAACACAGGAATGCAACATGATGTGAGGCTAATATGTGTCAGTTTAAGAAAGGATTTTTCTCTGAAAGTCAGAAGCTCTAAGAACTAATCGTATATTAAACTGTATAATTAAACGGATATGTACAGAACAAAATGTGTTTCCCTATGCTTGTCTCCACAAAGAAGTGGGATGTAACTAAACTGGTTTCTAAGTTGACTTAGTTTTATCAGTGGACACTCTTAAATTGATTTCAAAACATCCACTGTAGGGAGTTGCACTGATACAACTAAGTCAATTTAGAAACCATTTAATTAAATTGGTGCAATTTCTGTATGCATACAAGGCTTTTGAATATTAAACACAAGCCAAAAAAGATACAAGTCAGAGATGATGTTACAGAACAGTAAAACATTAAGATTCATGATTACATTAAGGATTAAAAACTAGGCACAGCCACATGATCCTCAGATACCTCTCTGGCTACCGATTTGTTTGATTCAAGTAAAAGTTTCCCTCATTTAAACAACCTTGTATAGACTTGTTCCAGTTTCTCCTCCCATTTCCTCAATTCATCCAGCACAGGCTTCCTCTACATTCCTCCACACTTTCACCCCACTGGTGGTGCAAGATCATTTTCCACAGATTCTGATCCCAATATCCAGAAGAATCTTCATACCCTCACCTTATCTAAACTTCATTTCAAGTTAGTCAAACATTTGCTTTTCCTTACTATTTTTATTTATTTAAGAGTAACATCTAAGAGGGAGACAAATTAAATCTGTAGGGACATTGACTGCAGGATCTGAGCCTGTGCCATAGTACAGACCCCTGTGGAGCTCCATTGACTTTAATGGGACTCTACAAGTCTGAGTTACCAGATTCAATTGAAGGATCTGGGTCTTACTTTGTATTTGCAGCTGCACTCTGAGTTTGGTACTAGCCACATTATAAACAGATTTATAGTGTCACTGTACAAGACTTTGATCCAGCAAACATTTCTGCATAAACATTTGCAGGGTCAAGGCTTATTGCTGTAAATAGCTGATTGCAGCTACATAAAATTTTGGACAAGAAAAAACAGACAAAATATGTGTTACAGTTGTGAAAAGTACATTCTCCTCTAAGGGGTCAACTGTGAAATATCCAACTATATGTTATACATCAAGATAACAAAAAATTAAAACTTAACTGTAAAATTCAGGCCAAATTCTGTTCTCAGGTTCTCTGAACTCTCACTTAAATCACTCTCCAACACCACTCTTTCCTGACTCTTGCCCTCAAATTTAGTTTTTAAAATAAAACAAAGGGAAGAGAAACTGAGATGCATCTATAACCACAATAAGCACCCCAAGATCTTTCACTAGCATTACCTCCATCCCTCACATACAACCTTCCTCTGCATCCTCTGTTTATTGTATTTCCTTGTAAACCTGTGCCCGGTTTAAACTATTAATTTATTGGGGCCAATGCATCTTAATGGGGCTACATGACAAAAATATGCCAATCTATTAGTACCTAACACCACAACAAAACAGAGTTTGAAAATGAAGGAGTTGGCACACATGGAAAAAGTTGCCTTCTCAAACAACTGTTTGCCTTAATATTTTCTCCATAAAGACCAACATAATCCACATTTGATTAAAAAAATTTCAGCTGAAGAAGTTAACAACTGACTTAACAAACGATAAACTGCTTTCAAAGCTACAGAACTCTTGGATTGTTGTATGATAATTTAAAGGCCACGCTAAAACCATGAGTAACTTTCAAGCTAGTCAATTTTACAGCCATGTTAAGCCATCCAGAAAATAAGGGTTTATAATGTAATAGCTGAAAGACCAAAATTATGGGGAGAGAGTAGGTTACCTAATAGGTGTTTTCCCTCTTCAGCTACTCTGAAATTACATAGCTGTGACAAACAGTAATACTATAATCAAGTGTGCACTAAGCCTGTATCACGGATTCTCCATTCTTGTTCTAAACACCCTTAATTTAAGTATTTATATTTGAATTCAGTACTCCAGAGATGAACTAGTAGGTTCTCTGCTTCAGTAAGCCACTATGCAATGTAACCCTTAATATACTACATTATAAACTAAAGACTTTTGTGCGTTGACAAACAAGCAGGCATATCTATTCCATATTACTGAATGGAGATTTAATAATGAACTACTCCTGTGCTTCACCCTTGGCACAGCCAGACCTGCAGATGGTAAGTAAGCGCTGCCACTGTTTCCGGTGAGGATTTGTGGTGCAAAGCCAGAGTACTGTTGTCATGCACATTACTGTGCACAAGTACCATCATTTTACTGGATTGCCATTGATGTTTGCCACGCTTCTGGTAGCGCTGCTGAGGCCTAGCCAGTAAACCTCGGGCACAATTCACTCCCCTCCCTTACAACAACTCTTGCCGTTACATAATTTGTACCACCCGGGACCCCTATCACAGCATCAAAGCCAGAGCGCCTAGGTACAAACAGCCCCGGCGCTCGCACGGGGGTGACGGGCCGGCCACTGGGCTGAACGCTCAGGCAAGGTGCACGTTTGCTGGCGGGTTTAATCCAAGCTTAAAGAGGTCCGCGGAAGGCGGCTCCCCGGGGCTGCCGGGCCCCCACTGCTCACCCCCGCTGACCGCTACCCCGACGCCACAACCCCCGGGCACGTGGCCGGCCCCCGCCCAGCTCCTAGCGCGGGGCGGGCACAGGCTGCCCAGGACAAACGCCGCGTGCCCAAGGAACCGAGGCGGCGCGTGCTGACGGGCGGGAGCGGGGCTCCGGTCTCCCCGCAGCCTTTCACCTGGTCCCGGGCCCTGCCTTGCCCGCCGCCCCGTCACTGCCCAGCGCCGCGCCCGGCCCCAGCGGCAGCCTCACCCCACTCCCCCGGCATCCTGTCCCCGCCGGCCGGGCCCGCCACGGGCTGGTAACGGGATTGGGACGGGGAGGCCTCCCCGCGCTCCCCCAAAACCCAACCGCCAGCGCGAGAAATGGGGGCCGCCGTCACGCGCGGCGCCTCGCTGACGTGCTCGGTTGTGCGCGGGCGCGCGCGCCTCAGCCGCCGCAGCTAGGAGACCGCGGAACCCGCCCCGCCCCCTCACCTGGAGGCTCAGGCTCCGGGCCCGGGGAGTGGCTGGCGGCTGGCTGCCCGGTGCCCAGCCATAGCGCCCGCCACCCAGGCCTGCTGCTCAGAGCAGAGGGGCGCTCACGGCCTCGGCGGGGCCTGTGGGGGTTGCACAGCAGGGGAGATGCTGGGAGAAGGGGAATGGAGGGTGGAAAGTTTCTGGTGGGCCGGGGAGCCCCCTCCTGGGAGACGCTAACGCGGCCTTTGGCTAGAGGGGGGGCGCATCCAAGGGAGAGGCGGGGGGAGGCCTGGCAGGGAGTCTCCATGTCTGGTTTCTGTGGCCCTACACATGGGGCGGCGGAGGTGTCCTGTTGTTGGGAGGCGCTGGCTGGACAGAAGCGATGGGAAAGTTGCTTGTGCTCCCTCCAGCATGTGGCTCGCATTGAACTACTGCCATGCTGCCTTGTCACCTACCTCACTATCCCTGGTGCGTACCTGGCCTTCATCATGCTGATGTACAGTGGGACCCAGCCACTTCAAGCCATGCTGGCACAGCTGCTCCACACTGAGTGCCATGGCTGGCAGCAGGGAAGGGATTAGGAAAGTGACTGGTTGGTATGGCTCATGGGCTGTAATTTGTTCCTCTCTGGCCAAATAATTATGGGGGTCAGGATTTCATGATGTAACATACTATTTCCTTTTAGTACTAATAGTGTGAATTCCAGCCCTATAGCCGTTTGAAAGAGTAAAATAAATGGGAAATTTCTTCCAAAACATACCTTTCTATGCATCCGAAGAAGTGGGCTGTAGCCCACGAAAGCTTATGCTCAAACAAGTACTCCTGTTCTTTTTGCGGATACAGACTAACATGGCTGCTACTCTGAAACCTGTCAGTTTCTGAGGCCCAGAACCTCTACTATGTTGTGGCTATTTAGTGCCACATCACTGATGAATGTTAGTCATAAAGCTATTTTAACAGGCAGTGTGAGGCTAAACAGAGTGAAGGGAGATCCTCTGGTAGAGAGAACAGGCAGGCCTGCTTTTAAAATATCCCTGGTGCTGACAGGGATTGTGGCTGAAGCAAGAAGCATGACTGGGACTTCCCTTGGTGCTGTATTCATTCCTTGGAACTATTATCAGCCAGTGTAGAGAATCAGTCCAGCCTTGGGGAAGATTAAAAGCCACATTGGTACTCACTGCCATAGCAGAAGATCTGGGCTTGAATGTTGGACATATGTGGAAAATACCAAAAGACACTAGGGATTAATTTTTACTATGAGAGAAACAACAAATTTACATAGAAATTATAGAATATCCTAGATCTTCCACTATCATAGCCTGGAAAGCTTTCACATCTAGTGTTTTTTATTTAAAGAAGAGAAAGAAGGAGTTGCTGCCCCACTACAATATGTTCCATTAAAAAGAAATCCCTGTATTCCAAATAAGATTTGGCTTGGACTTGTGACATTTTACGTATTTCCTGCAGACGGTACATACACCTCCCTCCCTCTTTTATAAGGTCAGCAAACATCTGGAGCCTAAGTGTGGGAATCCAACTCATGTTACTTTTGAGGGAATAATACAAATTATTAATTGTTAGATGGAACTAATCATTCTGATAGGAAGCTCAAGCTGACTGTCATTTCTGAGACTTCCTGGAGGTGATTAACAAGGCGCACTATGCAGTGACTGAGCCTGACTATCTTCAACAGATAATAAAGTTTTGACCCTGTGATTGTGTTCAAAAAGCCCTGCACTGGGTTAAGACCTAATGAGAAGTTCCTTAAGCATCCTACAGTGGATGTAAAGCCATCTGTTCCTTTCAGCAGAAACTGGACCAGATCCTCATTCCCCTTCTAACTGCTTTCCACTGCTCAGGGAGCACTCTAGTGGGAATAGGAAGGGAGCAAGTCATTTCTGTCCGAGGAGTTCAAGGACTGCAATTCTGCTTGGCCTTTATATGGGATGCAGAAGGGTGGTGAAAGTTTCTTTGTGCCTACCCTACCACAGCACTTTTGCATATCAGCCAGGCAGAATCTTGTCCTGAGTCAGGAGGTTAGGATTTGGCCTGAGGATTCTATCCTGTAGTTGTTCTTAGAATTCCAGCACTAGCAAAAGTATTCAACAATGGTTAAAGGGAAAAGCACTGTGAGCATAGTAAGGATTTCACTCTTTTTTCATAATTCTCATATCCAGTCCTACTAGAATAAATAGCTTTTAAAACTGCATTGGCTGTCAGGTGTCCTAACATGGATACCCATGTAGTATGAATATATACATAATTCATGCATTGTTATTGGAAGGATACATTTTGAAGTTTGTGATCGTATGTGGGTGGTGTAGCCTTATTCATACATCTCCTGCGTTGCTTTATGAATATTTATATTTGAGATATCACATTTATAAGATATTGATAGATCATTTTATAAGATGAACATCATTTTATTAAAATTGCGTGTAAAACATTGTGTATCTTGCATTTTTGGTATTTCTTGTCAGATAATAGTGACTTTTAAAGATACAGTAGAACCTCAAAGTTACGAACACCACGGGAATGGAGCTTGTTTGTAACTCTGAAATATTTGTAACTCTAAACAAAACATTGTGGTTGTTCTTTCAAAAGTTTACAACTGAACAATGCCTCTTTCTCTTTATTCTTTTAGTAGTTTACATTTAACACAATACTGTACTGTATTTTGTTTTTTCTCTGTCTCTGCTGCTGCCTGATTGTGTACTTCTGGTTCCAAATGAGGTGTGTGGTTGACTGGTCAGTTCGTAACTCTGCTGTTCATAACTCTGAGGTTCTACTGCATGCTTTTAACACTTACAACTTTGATTTCACAACAGTTATATAACAGCTCATGATTGGGTGATGGAATTATGACGTCATTGGTGGTAACACAGCCAGTCATTAGACAGTAGATTTTTGTTAACTTTCAGACTGCAATCCTAGGACCTGATAATCCCACTGAAGTTATTAGTTCTGTTCTCCTGAGTAATTGTTATTCACATTAATAAAAGCTTTCAGGATCAGGCAAATGCCTCCAAAAACAGGTGGGCTTTTTCTTAGTAGATGGGCAATTATAGCTAATATAGCATATATAATTACATAATATATTTGATATATAATATTATTTATAAACTGTTCCCTCCCTCTCCCACATGGGCTAGATTGTGATATCTTCACTGCTGTTGAATATCACCTTATACTGAGTAGTCTTGTTGAAGCAAATGGAGTAAGGTACCAGTTAATGTAAGGCTGTCACATTCTGGTCCTTGGAGGGCTGTGCAATAATTATACAAATATTACAACTGCTGTAATGTTTTTGTTAAGCAAACATTTTAAAGAAAAAATTACATACAGCTCAGTAAATGTATTTAGTTTTGAGTTCAGCCTGTGGTAATGACTTGGGGGTAACTGCTATTTGCGATATGAAGTTACATTGTTATAAGAACTCTTGGATTTTTCCTCACACTTGTTTCAGTAATAATTTCTCACAAATAGAAAGAGTAAGAACGTAAAAGAAAAAAATGTTTAAAAAGTGGAGACAGCAATATATAGTTTATATTGATTTTTTTTCCCCGTGAAATCATTTGTTGAGGGTTTGATTGTTGAGATTAGCTCACATCCTGATCTTAATGCTCATTTTCCTGTTTGCTTTGTAGTGGAAAAACCTATTTGAATTCATTTAAACAATGTCCAAGAACATTTGCACGTTCTACTATATTTTACATAACTATCATACTAGTCTGTTATGGCACTTGCTGATTAATGTTTCTATCACTGTTGTCATTGCAGAGCTAGTCTCTCACTGCATGGAGAGCAGTGAGCCAGATGCTTCTGTTCTATGTGGCCTCTTTGTTTCACAGTGCTGGCATAATCTGTAAAACCATTTGTGGTCACTGCAGCTCCATTAAAATCAGCTCTTTAGCTGTTCTAATAAACCCCAGGGGGGAACTGCCATGCACAGAGGAAAACTAGGATTAGAGGAATGCCAAGTGGTATTTTTTAAACCATCTTTGCACCTGTCCCTTTGATTCATGCTCTGTGTGTTTTGGCTGCATCTGAGAAATCAGGCCTCACATTTCTTAGATGTATTTCATACGATGAACAAAGAAGATCTTTTGTTATTTGAGTCCTGATCGTCACCCCAATATCCATGTGTGCAGAGGACTCTGACCCCAACTCAGTGTACCATTCTCCCTTACCTGGATCCTGTGGGGACTCTCCAGAATCTGTTCATAGAGAAGGCTGGACTGAGCTGAGGAGGATGGGCCTTGTCCCAGTCCCCACCTCCACCAGAAAGGTGACACAGCCTGTCCCACCCCGTCAGTAGAGGTCGGTGCTTTTGCAGAGATGGAGAACGTAGGACATAGGTCACCTTTGGCTGCAAAATGCTTTATTTTAATGTTGCTCTTTGTTCTTAATTATGTATTCCTAGCCTCTAGGCCTGATGGCTAAAATATACTACAGGCAGGTACCAGGTACTCTGTAATAACACATTTGCAGAATTCAGCTTTTTGCCAAACTGCTGCAGCTCCGTGTTTGACATTTTGTTGTCTCTGCCCCTGCCTCTATTCCCCCAGTGCCAAGCTACAGCTGCCATTTTCTGTGCTGCTTTCACCACAATGGGGAGCGTATTACATAACTGGCACATTCGCCTGCCCTGCTCTCCATAAAAAGGGGGGCCCGGGCTACAAAGCAGGACATGAGAGCTTCTAGCTGTCAGGAGCATCCTGACCTGTCTTTAAGGTATGTACCAAAAGGGGGAAATGTGGCAGCCAGGGATGAGTCTGTGAGCATCACAGGTACCAGGTAGAATTTTATCCTGCCTGGGACGCAAAGTGCGTGATGTGGTGTTCCAAATGGGGCTGCAGATAGAGGGTCATGGCAGCTGGAGGCACCAAGCCAATGAGCTGCAGTCTCTGGCTTGGGCTCCATCCTGCCCAGGCTGTGAAGTGTACAGGTCTGGATTAAGTAAGGTTGCCACCTCAGGTAGAAAAAAAACAGGACAGCCCATCAAACTAGAGAGCAGGCAGGCAGTGTGTACTGAGCACTCAGATTTTCTGGGACAGTTACCCCAAAAAAGGGACCAATCCTGGGAAAACCTGAACCTGTGGCAACCCTAGGGTTAAGGCAATCTAGGGCTCTAGGTACAAGATGACACAGAGCCTTCTGTGGCTTTCCCCCTTACAGCCAGGGCCGGCTCCAGGCACCAGCTAAAGAAGCAGGTGCTTGGGGCGGCCAATACCAAGGGGCAGCACTCCGGCCGCTATTGGGGCGGCACGTCCGGGTCTTCGGCGGCAATTCGGCGGCGGGTCCCTCAGTCCCTCTCGGAGCGAAGGACCTGCCGCCAAATTGCCGCCGAAGAGTGGAACGGTGCGATCATGCTGCCGTGGCTTTTTTTTTTTGCTGCTTGGGGCGGCAGAAAACCTGGAACCGGCCCTGCTTACAGCCCTGGCCCTGCATCATATCCTCACTCCCCATACAATGTGCTGGTGTTAAGGCCCTGCCCTCCCTTACAAAGAGGCAGGGACAGTGGCAAGGAGTTCCCCCCAGTACTTAATCCAGGAGCCAAGCTGTATCTGCTTGGGTGAGTCAGGTTGGTTGCACTCTTTTGTTCCTGCCACATACATTGCCCTCTGCTGAGGTGATGTTGGTGGACTTCCCAGATCAGTAGGGTTTAGAGTTAACACCTCCTGGAGATGAATGGGGCATGCCACCTCTCTCAGATCTATTGCTTCAAACTCTGCAGATGCAAGCCAGTATTGCTCTATTAGTTACACTTGGGTCACACTGTCAATTTTCTTCACAACCATGAGGGCTAGAAACATAATGTTCTTAAAATGAAAGTGGAGAGTCTGACATACTCACGTGACCCCAGAAGTTGAGGGTGTGATACTGGGACTCAGGAATGTATTCTGAAAAAATTAACAAATTAACCTAATTAGCACACTCAGACTTGAGTGTTCCCTGCTGCAAAATAAAGAGTACCTGCCACAGAATTTGGTTCTGTTTCATGGGGGAGAGCTTGAGAGAGCTACAGAGCACTTGTCCCCATTAAAACCATGGAATAAGTCACCACCCACATTGGAATTAGGAATAAATGTAATTACATGTGGGTGAAATTCATGCTTGGGCTGAGAGCCAGCATTAAACCTATGTGCCACTTAAATTCCACTTAAGCCATTCAGGTTTAAGTGGTGCATAGCCCTTATGCTGGCAACCATACGTGGGTAGATTTCACCTATGTGTGAATAATGATAGTATTGCTTTAAAAGCTTAGATAAGCATCTAGACAGTTATATAAGCACATTTAGCTACAAAGTGAGTGAGCTCGGGAAGATGGTGAGCCTGCCCAGAGTCTCACATGACATGGGCCTGAACTTCCTAAGTGACTTTGACTCCCCAATGGCAGTTGTGTTCGCTCAGCACCTCACAGGATAAGGCCCTATGTGATGAACACAATTAAATCGTTCAGAAATGAAGAGGATATCCTGAATGGCAGCAGTGTTTTTAGGCATTACCACTCCCTTACCGAACTAAGCAAGTCATATCCCGTGGCTTTCAAAGAGATTTGTTCTCACGTCTTTTATTTTGACAGTTCCCATCTTGGCCAACCCACTGGGGATTGAACTAGGGGACGTCAAAAGCTGAAAGCATGCACTAAAACTGTAACAGACTAATCTTTTTTGGCTTAGGCACAGAGGGGAGACCCTTGACACTCATTAGTAGGTTACATTAGCTCATACTTTAAATGCTGCTCTATTTTCATTTTGTTAACAACCTGGATTACCAGAACTCATGTTATTTCCTTTCAGACAACATGGCACTAATTTGGGTACTGGTTATAGCAACTCTATGCTAAAATGGCTGCCATAGCAGAAGATATTTTGTGATATGTCTTTCAAACTAATCTGCCTACTGAAGGGCATTTTAAACATGTACAGCAAATGTTATCCAAAATGTTTGTTAATAGAGATATGTGGTACATTTGCTATTGTTACTGCAAATTCATGTTTAGATTATGCAACTTTTATGAAATTAACATAACACCAGCCGTGTGTTTCTGTCTCTTTTCCAAGTACAGTATAATATTGAGGCAATGTGTACTGTTTGGATTTTCCTGGGAGGTAGTTTTCATGAGAATAATAAATAAAACAGATGTAACAAATAAATATATCTACTGTACTTTATTTTCTTATTAAATGCTGTAAACTTCTCATGCCACTGTTTCTTTTGAAAATACATTGAAATAGATATCAGAGACCTTTATGATACAGATTGTGATACAGTTTTAAAGGTGTTTTTACTGTCAGTTATCTGAAGAATGATGCAGTCTTGAGTTTAATAAATAAAATTGTAAATTATGATACAGTGATATACCCAAGAAAATACTTCATTGTTGATTACATTATACTCAGTATAAATACCTTACTTATATTTATAGTAAATCTAAAAGTCCCCTTGTTTGGGAACTTACAGGCTAGGGGGCTGATTCATCAACCCTTACCTGAGTAATCCCCACTCATGCCAGCAGTCCTTTTGAACTCAATGGAACTACTTGCCTGAATACGAATTGTCTGAACGAGTAAGGTTTGCAGGATCAGGTATTAATTGTGGATGCTATTACATTAGCAGACAACCTCCAGGATAGAAAGAAACATACATTTTATTTTAGATGTGTTCTGAATTTTATGCAAACAATTATACACTGTATCTCAATCAACAAGGCATTCTTAGACTTAGTTACTTCTTGTTAAAATGGAAAATGTTGAGTTGTGAGATGGTTGTTTTATTTTATTTTTAATATTAATATGAATAAGATACCATGTTTCTGCAAAAGAACATTTTATACCAAAGAGGAAGTGTAATTAATAGTCATAGAATGCTGACTGTACAAACATTTGAACTAAGAAATATGCATTCACCTTGCCAGTATTTACAGTAATATAATACCCTAGCTCTTATAAAGTGTTTTTTCATCAGTAGCTCTCAAAGCACTTTACAAAGATAGGTAGGTATCATTATCCCCTTTTTAAGATGGGGAAACAAACAATTTATAAATGTTTTGCTAATTCTGCATTCTTCATTTTAAATCTGTAAAACTTGCTGTTATATTTATCCTTTCAAACTTCTGCTTCCACACATTTTACTGTGGCCTCTGGCTTGGTTTGAGGCTCTTCTGCTTTTTTCCCATTATTCTTTGATTCCTTCTCAGGAGCATTGTCAATTGACTTAGCGTCTTTGATGACTTTGGCTTCAATCCTTTCTTTTTGGGGCTTCTTGTTTGAAAATGGGCAGGTTCTCTTGTACCTTTAAATAGAAATATTAAAGTAAATTAGAACAGAAACACTACCAGGTAGCACACATATTATGAGCGCTGAATAATCACAGAATAGATTAAATACAAAGTATCTAGAATTATCAACTGATCCTGCAGGTCATACTCAAGCAAAACTCCCACTAAAGCCATGGGAATGCTGAATTAGTCCCCCTCCAGTGGTCACATGGTTTTTAGACTTAGTTCTTAAATATTTTTAAATCAGACAACATATATCAGAAGTAGCAGTACATAATGATGAAACTAGATGGAATGCAATTTCAGACATATGCAGCTTTTAGATTGGATTTAACAATCCATTGCCTTGAATGTCTGTCTGCATCAATATATAAGCTTTACAAATGTTAATCTTTCTGAACACAACCATAATTCAAGAATAAGAATTCTTCTATCAGGACTGGGATAGTAGAAAGGTACAAGAAGAAAAATATACTAACACTACAGCAGATACTTAAATGTAGACAGATGAGCTGACATGCAGAAATCACACACCTGGCACATGATTACTTGATTAAGCTCCTTCCTATGACAGGCATTCAGCTACAACAATAATAAAGTTTATCTGCAGAGCTACAGATACTCACATTTCACTCTTCTTTTTCATATGTTTTAATTTAATTTGTACTATATATAAATATGAATATTCATCAGCCGTAATCTAAGATTAAATACATTATGAAAGAAAGAGCTTACTTTCTGATATAGCAGACTGCAAGAACAGCTGATGCCATAAAGAAGATGAGTGCCAGTACCAGGAGTGCAATGGGTACACCTAAAGATAAAATGATATAGATAACTGATGTGTTTATCTTGATTTTTTTTAAAATAGTGTTAGTTCTTAAATCAGCCTTTCTGAAAATTGATGTGCCTAAGGTCAGATTCTGCTAAAGGCAGCCTTGAGTAAGTGGGTCCAGTCCCCATGGAAATATCTAGTTCAAATTCACAATGACCTAAGCAGTGGCATCAATTACACTCATTTTGCACACCAGCTGAGTGCAAGTTACACTATTTTGCCATTTACACCCAGTACTTCTTCCATTAAAGTCAATGGTAGTTTTGCCATTGAGTTAAAGGGGAACCACTTCAGGCTTGTTTTGATATTTAGACTATCGTTTTTGTCACTGTTGAATTTGAATTATAATCTCAGAATAATCTTTACTGCCTACTAAAGCAGGGGAATTTAGAGAAATACATCACTACAATGATTTTGTTCAGATATATGGCATGTTCTCTTGTTCTTTAGGAAGACATGCTATGTAAATTGTATGTGATTGCATTCAAAATATATATAGTCAAAGGAAAGCTTTTTAAAAAACACTTCAGTTAAGGATTGTCATCAGGATTATTAAACAGGAAACAAGGGATGAGCTGATGTTCTTTCCAGGCAGATAATGAATGCTGGATGAAAATTTCAGAGTCATTACCCTGGAAACATATTTATTGTAAAACCGAAGGGCCAGGGTTTGCCAAAGATTTGTACCCAGACTGCTCTGTTAGCTATATAATCTACACAGTTGCATACATGCATATATTATTCTACACCATATTTTCCAAGTAGTACAGTAAAAGTTGAGGATCAGAAAGATATAGTGATTATTGGCATGTAAGAAAATGACACAGTTTTGCTTTTTTTGTTTGACACTAGGTTTTGTGTGGGTGTTTGATAGCTCTATCCTGGCAGGTGTGAGAACCAATTAGGTTTTTCACTTGCACCAAGCATGTAGCGTATGTTGGCAAAATTCCCATTGACTTCCTCAGAAGTAGGAACAGAATTTATGTGGTAAAATTCCACTGATTCCTATTAAAAAGCTAAGTAATTTTACATTTAATCCTCCACAAATATACTAATTAATTTTCAAAAGAAAAGGAGTTTCCTTTGTGTTACTAGTTTTGGGTTCGCAAATCCTTATATTCTTATTCTGCCCTCATACACTCATGTGTAACAATCCTTGATTTTGGTTCTAGCTGTGCACACTAACCCACTATAAAACACTATTTAATAACTAGGGTACATATAAAAAAGACATATAGCCTTTACCTCCAAATACAACACTATCATTTGTAAAGGCAGCTTGGTTTCCATTAGGCACTGCCATCTCCTCTTCACTTTCCAAAATAGGCTGTACTGTTGGTAAAATGGTTTCCGTTACACATTTTATGCGAAAGGTCTTCCGAGGTATTTGGGGTTTTGGTGACTCAGTAGCAGTAGGCATCTCTGTGATGCCCTGAGATGAAGCTGTTGAAGATGAGTTTACTTCTGGATCTGTTGCAGATAACAGGGTTGTACCTGTTTCTGGTATGCATGAATCAATCCAAATATCTGCAAAGGGGGAAAGGCAGTGTAATGAGTTGCACGGGGCGCTATTGCAACATTTTGCACATACCTGAGGCAAACCACACATTAATCTATGGTGGATATTTTCAGAAGTTTTTCTGAGGGTATGCAGTGTGGTAATGAGATGACCACTACTCATACCTATTGATACTAGAGTGACAAGGTGGGTGAGTAATATCTTTTATTGGACCAATTTCTGTTGGTGAGAGAGAGGAGCTTTCAAAGCTTACACGGAGCTCTTCTTCAGGTCTCTGTAAGCTTGAAAGCTTCTCTCTCTCACCAATAGAAGTTGGTCCCATAAAAGATGTTGTCTTGTCTCTCTAATATCTTGGGACCAACACAACTAAAACAACTCTGGATACAACTATTGATACTGTTTATTACTATGTATTTATTCACAGAGGCTTAGATTTAGCATGTCTAACTTTAAGTATAAGAGTAGTTCCAGATTACTCACCTGCTTAAAGTTAGGCACATGCTTAAGTACCTTTCTTAACAGGGAACAAAGCCCACAAGTGTGACAAAACTCCTTTTACAATGGCATACAAAAGACAAGATCCTTGCCAGAAAGAGCTTACAATATAATTTCCTGTGTTACACATGACAAGGAAACAAAACAAAATGGAGGGAAGAACTGAGTAAGAACACAGGTTACATTGTCATGTGGTTACCCAGCATTTTGAGGTTCATTTACATCATTACAGGTGGTGCTATGAGCCCTGCCTTATTATCATGGTTATCCAACACTTCCCAGTATAAACCCCTGGTTTCACCTGCTTATAACTTTGTCAAACGGTAACCATTTGAACTGAAATTTTACATGCCTGGTGTCGACCTCAGACTGATATTTTTTTCCAGCCAAAGAAGTTTAGCGCTTTCCAAGAACAAGATTAGGGGAAAATATGTTATTTTGTCCATGTCAAAACATTCAGGCAACCTTTTCTTTGAGAAGTTTTAATGCCCACATGCTTTGGAGCAGGGACTTGAAGTTTGGCAGTGGGGTTATATTTGTGTCAGGAATGTGTCTTTTTCTGTCCCCAAGAAAATACATGCAAATTTGGCCAAGCTATAAACCTTTGAAAATCTGCAGTTCGCACATTATCCTAATAGGGTTGCCAGGTGTCCAGTTTTTGACCAAAATGCCCAGTCAAAAAGGGACCCTAGTGGCTCTGGTCAGCACTGCTGACCAGTCTGTTAAAAGTCCAGTCGGCAGCGCAGCAGGGCTAAGGCAGGCTCCCTATCTGCCCTGGTTCCGTGTGGCTCCTGGAAGCAGCGGCATGTCTCCCCTCCGGCTACTATGTGTAGGGGCTGCCAGGAGGCTCCACATGCTGTCCCCGCCTCAAGTGCCGGTTCTGCAGCTCCCATTGGCTGGGAACCATGGCCAATGGGAGCTGTGGGGGTGGCGCCTGTGGACTGGGCAGTGTGCAGAGCCACCTGGCCACACCTCTGCGTAGGACCGGAGATGGAACATGCCGCTGCTTCCGGGAGCTGCTTGAGATAAGTGCCACCCAGAGTCTGCACCCCCCCCCCGCACCCCAACTCCTGCCCCAGCCCTGATCCCCCTCCCACCCTCCGAACCCCTCAATCCCAGCCCAGAGCCCCCTCCTGCACCCAGAACTCCTCATGCCCAGCCCCACCCTAGAGCCTGCACCCCCACCGGAGCCCTCACCCCCCCTTGCACCCCAACTCCCTGCACTAGCCTGGAGCCCCCTCCTTCACTCCAAACCCCTCATCCCCAGCCCCACACCAGAGCCTGCACCCCCAGCCAGAGCCCTCACCCCCCTGCACCCCAAGCCCTGCCCCAATTCCCTTCCTGCCCTACGAACCCCTCAGTCCCAGCCCAAAGCCCTCTCCTGCACCCCAAATCCCTCATCCCTGGCACCACCCCAGAGCCCGCACCCTCAGCAGGAGCCCTCACCCCCTCCCACATCCCAACCCACTGCCCCAGTCTGGAGCCCCCTCCCGCACCCTGAACACCTCATTTCTGGCCACACCCCGCAGCTCTCACCCCCTCCAGCACCCCAACCCCCTGAGCCAACCCAGTGAAAATGAGCGAGTGAGTGAGGGTGGGGAGAGTGAGTGACAGAGGGAGGGGGGATGGAATGAACGGGGGCGGGGCCTCGGAGAAGGGGCAGTGCCTCGGAGGAGGGGTGGGGAAGGGTGGGGCAAGGGTGTTCAGTTTTGTGCGAGTAGAAAGTTGGCAACCCTGTATCCTAATGAGGGTTATATAAGCACCTTATCTTCAGGGACAGCCAGTAACTTAGACAAATTGCATAAATGATGCCTGTAAAAAACTGCACCTTTAAAATTATAAGTGGAAAACTGGAATTCTGGGTAAGGCTGGAGTGAAAATGTGACTAATGAGGAATTGGTCATTGGTTCTTGCTGGTACTCTTACATAATCTGAAAACTATAAAGTTATCACTATATTAACCAGCTGAATAGGTTATAGAAATAATGGACGGAAATGACTTATGTACAGTTCTTAACATGAGTCCCAGGTGGGAAGTCTGATGACGCATTTTCATTCACAAAGTAAGAGGATAGATGACATAGAGTTGTACTTTTTTCATTATGGCCTTTAAGTGACTCTACACACTGCAGCTGGAAGGTCAAACTGCAGCGAAATGAGCTCTTGCCAAATACTTTTGTTATAAGAGCTCTAGCAAGTGGCATTTTGGCCATTAAGATAAATGGTGATTCTTCATTCCCTAAGTTAAATAAAAATTGCTTCCTAATAGCATTTAACAGGCTAAATTTGCTCTACTAAATAATATGACAACAATGTAAAATAGTGACAATTCTCTGTATTTAAACCTGCAAAAGTAAGGAATTCAGGGTTAAGACTGCCACTTTGTCTTTACCCAGCTCATCTTATAGGTGTAGTACAATCCAAAATACTACACAGATAAAAAAAAGCGCCACATTTTAAAAGAACAGTTCAAGCATACACAGACATGATACAGCACATACAAAATCAGCGATATTAAAAAAGGGTAGCTGTTTAAACAAGACACAGTTTTAGCTAACCTACCACATAGGTTCGTAAACCCACACATGAGAGTTTTGAACTGTAGAGAAGGATCAAGTTTACCCCAATCACATCTTTTTTAATTGGACTGTTTAAATGGCTAATCCATTTTGGACACTGTTGTTCCTATGGATATATCCAAGGAGTACCTCCATCCTGGATTTTTCTCACATCACTCCCACTCCAACAAGGCTACTCATGAAGGTCATTAACAAATTCCTTCTGGCCATGTCTAATAGCCTTCTCCCTAACGGCCTCATCCTCAGTCTTTCTGCCACCTCTGACATGAATGATCTCTCAGTCCATTGTAATAGCCTCTCCTTCCTAGGTTGCCATGACTTGCTACTCTCCTGGCTTTCCCCTTGCTTTCCAGCCACTCTTTCAGCATCTCTTTCACATGTTTAGCCACTTTCCTCCACTGAAACCCTTCAGAGTTCCATACATAGTCCTCTGGTCTTCTCTTCTTACACATTGTGAAGGATGTGGGGCTGGTCTGTAATAATTTATGAATACTGTATATGATCTGGTTACCGTGGTAGTTACTGTATAATTATATTGGGTTATTGGAATATCTACTGCATGAATGTATTGATTTAATGTAATAGCAGGGCTGTTCAGACACTAGCAGGAAGGGAACACAATATCTTTAGGTAAGAAACCTCTCGGTAAACATGGTGGATGTCATTAAGAAACAATGCTAAGGTATTATGTTGCAAAGATGCTACATTATTTGCTCCAGCACAAAGTTACACTCTGTTTTGCCCAGGCTGGGAATGGACCGATCCAAAGGACTTGAAATGGTTAAAAAGTGAGTTGTTGGGAGAGGGGGAGTCAGTTGTCAAGGGCTGTTCCTGAGGAACAGGGTGACATAGACACTGGCCCAGCTGAGGAGGTATGAAGCAGTAGAGCCTTCCAAAGATTCCAGGGGGATGGTAAGCCTTCCATAAGAGAGCTAGGCATACAGACTGTTTATTGTGTTAAAATCCTTTTTCTCTTCTGCTTTGCTGTGTTTCTATTATTAAGATTAAACATTATTTTGTTTTAAGATAGTTGGCTAGTCACTGTATTCAGTGCCGGCCACAAGCTCCCAAAGGGAAGAATTGCTGGGGCCAAACCAAGGAACGCTAGCCCAGGGCCTGGTCTATGGAGGGAAGAATTGTGGGATTCCACCTCAGAACAGGTAAGGACGTCAGGCCTAACACTTGAAGTGTGATCTCAGAAAGACCAAGGAAGGGGGTTAGAGGTGCAGGTAGACCTGTAACCATGACACTCATATTCTCTCATAACTTCAATGACCATTTCTACAATGATGGCACCCCCATTTCTCGCTCTACTCCTGAACTCCCTTCTTTTGTCCAGTCTCAACATGTCTATCTCATTCGACTTCTCTTGCTGGATGCACTGTCACCATCTCATGGTCAACAAGTCAGAACAAACCTTATTTCTTTCCTCCTTATCCTTCTCTTTTACCTACCTTCTCTACTACTGTTGACAATATTATCATTCTTTCTATTACTTAAACCAACAATCCCTAGGCCCTGTTTAACTCCACTCCCTCTTTCTCTCCTAAGACTCAGGCTCTAGCTAATGCTGATGTCTTTTTCACTATAATAACTCCAAAATCATGGGCGGCACGGGTATCGAAGGCTGGGGAAGGCTGAGCCTCCCCAAACAATCTTGCATGGCCCCACCCATGCTCTGCCCTCAGGCTCCTTCCTGCTTCCTGGTGCTGTGCTGAGGGGGGCTCTTTCCCCCACCCTCCCCATGGCCTGAGGCTGGGGTTGGGGCTAATGGGGGCTGGCCTGTGCTCCGGGATTGGGGGGGACTGCGCCACCCAACCACCCGGCGCTCCAGGGCTGGGGAAGGGGGGTCGTACCACCTACCCACCCACTCGGCGTTCCGGGGCTGGGGAAGGGGGGCTGCACCGCCCACCTGGCACACGGGGGGGGGCACGCCACTCGCCCAACTGCCCGGCACTCAAGGGTGGGGGGGGGGGTCCCAGGACTGGGGAAGGTGATGGTGGCCGGGGGAGGGGGGGAGGGCTTTGGGCTCCAGCAGGAGTGGTGGGGCCTCGGGCAGAAGGAACAGGCCGGGCCAGGGGCTAGCCTCCCTGAGCCTGGGGTTCACCCACCGCCCATCTCCAAAATCCATCGTTCCTTCTCCCCACAGCTACCTAGATATTACTCCATTTCCTAGTTGCTCTCCACTCTTCCATCTCTCTCATTCCAGGCCATTAAAAATGCTTCCATCAAAATCACTTGCCTTTATTGCTGTTTTTTCCACATTCCACCATTTCTTGGATCTAAAAAAGTTCAAACTTCTTCAATTTACATTCTAGGCTCTCCAAAATTTATCTCTGCCCTCTGTCCTATCTTCAGTGGACACACAGAGCAATCAATCACTGTTTTCTTTATAACAGCCTTTAATATATTTGAAGACTTATCAGTTCCCCTCTCATCTTTTCCTTTAGCTTGGGTAGAGTCACTAATGTGACAATCTAATTTCTCCCCTTGTTACAGGACTGTCTGAAGTAAAATACAAGGCTGTATAGATGGGGATTCTGGGAATATGTGACAATGGTGGCTTTGGAGTTTACTACCTAGTATGGACTTTAGCCAGAATAAATGTATTTTAATTTAGGTATTTTTAGATTTAATTTAGTTTGTTGGGTCATTTTTTATTTTTGCAGTAAAATAATATATATCATGAAACTACATTGTTGTTACTGAAGGAGTATAAACTAGCTATGCGTTTGCATGTGTTTGAAACATTTTCACTAGCATAAGCATGACTGAGCATACCTAAGGGCTTCACATAGCTGACTCCACATAACTGAATATAGTGAAGAAAGCCTTATTCAAGAACTTTAATTACAGCATCATTTTATTAATTTAGGTGAACTAAATGGAACTTCTGTCCATCTAGCATCCTGCATTTAGCAACAGCTCTTTTTTTTCCCTAGAGGGGAAAGATACAATCCGCCATCTAAGATTAGAAAAAAAGCACTAACAATTTTTCTATGAAGATTTGAAATAATAAAACTAAATGTAAAGACTCTAGGTCTCATGCCTACTTACCTGAAGAATTGAAGCAGAAACCATGATATCTGCGGGAGAGAGAGGCTTTCCAATCTGCTACTCCAGTTTTGTTCTGACCACATTTTGGATTTGGGATAACCCGAGAAATGACAAGCCATTTATCTGCCACCCATCCAAAGCTAGAATAAAAAGTATCAATCCCTTTAATGTTGGATGCATTCACAAGCATATTGTTGTATGTAAGGAAATGGAGCTGCTAAAAGCTGCTAGTAACTTACAGACTTCACGTACCTGCATGTTTCAAAGCCATGATTCCAGGCCTTCTCAACCTGGGTTTTGCTTGCCAGCTGTAACCCCAGCTGTCTACATGCACTTTCTGCTTCTGAGAAATTCAGTTTGTTTGGATGAGAAATTAGGGTTATGCCTGCAGTCCTGCACTCCTTAATGGTGAGATCTGTAAATTAAACATAAATATTACCTTAGAATTTATTCTTTTATTTTAAGTAAGTGCCTGTGTGTGTAGTGGTGCATATTGTTGTTCACTTTTTAAGTTTTATGGGTATTAGGTCATTAGAGGAGTTACCTTCCAGTGGGAGAGTTAATTTAATCTTTTATAAGAAAATAATCTGTTTTGTTCACCCCAACAGTCTAATAGTTCAGAAGGTAAGGAGGACTCGTCACCATGGCTAGACTATGACAATGTATATTTAAAAAAATTAATTATAGATGGCAACTTTGAGCCTGTACATGGGGGCAGCCATCTTGCTAAAGAGGATGTCGTTTGTGACACATGTGCGTGACAGCCCCATGGGTGGGCTGGAAACCAGTTTTCCCACCTGATTAATAATGTCTTAAAATAATAAAAGTAGTGCTTATGATAAAACACTAATGACCTCAGCATAGTGAGCTTCACACAGTGACAGGGTTACAAGGCCTGCCATGGATAGCAAACATGGTTGGAAGCATGTGGAGTTTACTCACAAAAAGATGCCCATTAGAGGAATTTTGTAATTGTTAATTACGTCACCTCCACTCTGCTGAGCTGTAACTTTTTAGGCCATTGGGGAAACTCAGATACCTTTGATATCATTTTAAAAGAATGTAACAAGGTTCAAGCATGGGCCAAATTAAGTTACTTACTATCTTTCACCAGAGGTGCTGGAACAATGTGTATAGTGGGGGTGCTGAGAGCAACGGAACCAGTCTGTAAACCCCAGATAGAACGAAAACCATTTTCAAGCCACGGGGTGCTGCAGCATGCCCCCCTCCCCCTGCACCTCTAGTTCCAGCACCTACGTCTTTTACACACGTTGGGCTAGAACCCCAGTTGTGCTAGGGCAGTGCTTGGTACAGATGAGGGCATGGCACAGCTGCTTGGCACAGCTTTACCCCACTTTTTTGTGCTCCTCCTGGGGCCAGCTAGCTGCTTCAAATTTCACCATGTTGCAACAGCCCCCAATGGGCAGACAACAATTGCTGGAGCACAGTGGCATTTTGGCCACACCCACTACATCAAGAACTGGGAATGGGTGGGCTAAGGCTGGTTATATCAGCCCTACACTACATGGGGATTCTCCTGTGCTGGCTTTAGAGCCCAAAGCAACTTTAAGGGGACAGAGAGGGACAGAGGGCAGGATTTGGCTCTTTAGCTCCATGTACATTCCACCAGGGCCATAAGAAACATAAAGCTGCATTTTTTATGTATAGTAGCAGACAAGCTAAACGAACAAGGAACAACACACTGTAGAACAAACAAGGAACATTGTAGAGACCAAACAGAATGAATATACAGTGGCAACAAAAACCCAATAAATAATCCAATAACTGCTTCTCAGATATCCCCTTCAGACTGTACTAGCCACCACCATGCATACATTTATGGTGGGAAGGTGTGCCTGCGTACCATAGTGCTCAGCTCAGACAAGGAGAGTGGTCTGATTGTGAAGAGAATGTAAATTTACCTTATAATGTCCTCTTGGTGGCCAATATATCCTCCATTTGGTCCGACTCCTCCTACTTCAGTCAGCGCCTCCAGACTTAACCCACACTATTCTAGACTGTTCTGTCTCCCCTTTTTCCTCCCAGTCAGACCCAGTCATCTTCTGCTGGGCCTCTCCATGTCCCAGCTGCAGCAATGCAGATCCCACTCTCCTCTCTGCTTCTTAGGCCTAATCCATCCTCTCCTTTCCTGTCTCCAGGGCCTGCTCCACACTTTCCCTCCTTTCATACCATTAACACGTGATCCTTTCCCACACTTTCTACATTCAGACACAGTCTCTCCTGTCCTTACCCTCTCTGTCCCCAATCCAGGGATTTGCTCAGCATCTGTTAAAATTTGGCTGAGTAGACTTTTTAATGTATAATGATGATGAAAGAAGTTTCTTAATGACCAGTCATATTAATTACCAGCCTTAATTTTCCAATCCTCAGAAGGACTTTGAGAAATACAATGCAGCTTTTCAAATTGAATTGAGCTACTGACTGAATGGAACTTCCTGACACTTGACAAGTTGGCTGGATACCTGTAAATGCCTGACTGATGCATAATATACTCAACAAAAGAAATATTTTCATATGAGAAAAGCAGTCAACTAGATGTTCGATGAATGGGAAGAAGGAAGATTCAGTATCAGAAAATGAGGGCTCAGTTGGAGGAAGGAAAAGAAAATAGAGTGAATTGCAGATAGAGTGCAATTTTTTAACCTGAAAAATACAAAAGAAGATCAAATGGAATGTGTACCGGAAATTAACATTTTTGAAACAACATGGAGAAGTAAAAAGCACCTTCTCGGACAGTTATCAGCTTTATTGTGAACAATAACTAGTTTTACAAGGTAAGAAAAAGATTAGAAGCAAACAGCAACCACACAATCATCCTACCCTTTTCATGACTTCCTAAATCATCTGAGTCCTGTGATGAAGCAAACTGAATTTGTGTTGGCTACACAAGCTGCTCTTAGCTAGCCTCTGAGCTCTTCTGTACTTGGCTGGTCTAAGAGCAAAAGGATATCTTCATCTTGAAACATATGTTGCACATTTGCAGGAGAAATCTACTTCATTAGAAGAACAGTGGAACTGATTGATTAGGAGAAATAAAATCTGAGAATAAGACAAAGATGGTGGGTGCAGAATAGAATAAAGGGACTTGAGCTGTTGTAAAGTGAGGGAGATGCTTCTGCTTTAATGTGATCTAGTCTCTTTGCTGTTTCGGGAAACTGCTGCTGACGTCTCTGTGTTTTTCCCCAGATACTCAGTTCATATTGCGATGTCCTGTCCATGAAGTGCTGGGTGGGTTCCTCTGTCTGCTGGGAGCAGAGAGGGACATTCTTAGGCTGCCATGGTGAGAAGGATCTTTGCCTGCTGGGATTTTTAAGGGAGGCTAAGACTGTTAGGTACACAAATCCCATTGAATTTCAACAGGAGTTGGGCATCTAATTTCTTTAGCTGCCTTTGAAAATCCCATAATTTGTTGTGTAGGAGCCTTCAGTAGATAAGAAAAATAAATCAGTTTGACATTGAAATCTGGTTGTTTACACAGGTAGAAAGAAAATTTCCTCTTTGCAAAGTGTGACTAAATTCACTTATAGAGACTGATGAGCTCATCCCTGCCGTGTTGCAGGAACCTGCATGCTAATAGCTATTGAGGACATAAACGAGAAGGTCATTTTAGGCTGATTTTGAAGATGGGGGCTGAATCAGAGGATGTCTGAGTTTCATTTGACACATGGCAGAAAGAAGTGAAAACGTCTGCTGGTGTTCTGAACCAGCAATTCTGTTTTCTTCTGGTGCAAAACTGGGATCCTTCCTCTATCTACGGTATGAAAAAGCCTGTAATTGATTTATCAACATCATCACACTGTGTAGTGTGACCTTCTCACAGTTTGTCGGTCTCCCAACAGTCTCCCCCAATCACTATCTAAATATAAGGGAGTTGATTGCTGACAATTGCGTATGTATAGTCATTTGCTTGTATGTGATATTCCCAACTTCTGCTTCCATCATTTTGTCTTTTAAATTTTGAGCCCACTGGAGCCAGGATTGGCTTATTTGTGGTGCACATTCCCACTACCCCAGGGGTTCTCAGACTTTATTGCCCCGCAACCCTCTTCTGACACCAAAATTACTACATGACCTCAGAAGGGGAGGCTGATGCCTGAGCCCACCTGAGTCCCACTGCCCTAGGTGGGGGGGGGCAAAGCCCAAGCCCCACCACTCTGGGTGGGGGGGGGCAAAGCTGAAGCCCACGGGCAGGGGCTGTAACCTGAGCCCCGCTGCTAAGGGCTGAAGCCCTCAGGCTTTGGCTCTGGCTTTGGCCCTGGGCAGTGGGGCTCGGGCGTCAGCCCTGGGCCCCAGCCAGTCTAAGTCAGCCCTGGTGACCCCATTAAAATGGGGTTGCGACCCACTTTGGGGTCCTGACCCACAGTTTGAGAACCCCTGAACTATACAATCCACCAACAACTAATCAGTAATCTCTTTGCCAGTTTTCTTGGAGCAGTTACTCTCCTCCTCCTTGAACTTCCCTCTCTCCTCTAATGGTAGATGTGCCAAGGCAGGGCATCAGGTCATATTGTGGAGGGGATATGCCCTCCTGATCACTGTGTTGTACTTGTTTGATAGCTGAAGAGCAGACTTCAGCTTTCATGGCTTGCAAACCAAGTCCCCAAGTACTTTCTTAGAAGAAGCATTAATCACATAAAAATTAAACAAAAATATTTCATATGAAAATTATATGACTATTTGTTAATGGAATTATGGTGCAACCATTGCATTTGAGAGCTATTTAAGGCAGATGCTCCTTTATTAATTCCTGAAATACACTGTCGTCCAAAAAGGGAACTCCCAAGTGTTTGGGTTATTTTTTCTTCCAATAGTAACCAGAGGCAGACTTCATTACCCATAAGCTGTACTTCAAGAATCATGCCTATCTCCCTGAGAACTTTGTTGGAGCCTCATATTCACTGTTACGATATTTCAAAATCAAAACAAACAGTTTACATTTAAAATAACATTTTTCTAAGGCACCCAGTGACCAATTTCATGCATATTCTGTGATTAGATAACCACTCAAAAGCTTTTGCTGTGGTATCTTCCAAAAAATTTGACATCTGGTCAGATTTTCACTTGCTAATAAAAATATCATCAAAAATTAAACAAAAAGTCTTGTGACACATTTGGACATTATTAAAAATGATTCAAATAATTAAATTGGACATAAATATTCAGTGAAAGATATTCACAAGCAAGAATGTTACTGAAAAATATTCGCTTTTGCAATGATTTCTGAGAAATCTGTGGTTTCATATACTTACAAATTATAGATTAATTTAAAATATATACACATACAGAATTATATATATTCACAGATGTAATTATACACCTGCATATTTTATTTTCAAACACACTGATTTAGCAAATATCTTTTCTGGAATAAAGAGAGAAAGAAAACCAATTTACATCTACCTTGAACATATTTTTGGACATTGAGAAAAAGTTGCACACACTGAAAAATTGTAAGAAAACATACCTTTCACATTGAAAGAGCCTTGAGCTAGGAATTTCATAATCCAGATTGAGAACAAAACCAGGATAACTCCAGAATAAGTTCCCATTATCATTAACACCAATAACAAATGAAAAAACTCAGGATGGGTTGTTGCCTACGTTAAAGACAATGGTGTATTGCCAGTCCCCTTGCTATGGGCTTTGAGATGACTTTCTTGACAGCTACATAGATGCCACTGTACTGATTCACCAAAAGAATGTCAGCAAATATTTGTTGCTCAGCTAAAAAGGCATCTACTGGTCAAGGGCACTAGCTGGAAATACATGACGTCCCCAGAACATTTCACAGCTGGCTGGCTGGAAAATTCAGCTAATGCTGACTCAGAAAACATACAGCTGAGGAAGGGAGATAATGAAGTGTTAGTCTGTCAGTCTTAAACAGTTTGAAAAATATTTTTCTCTTGCTATTCCTTTTGTAACTGTTCCTGTTTAATTGGGCGTCAGCTCATCACTCATGTAGTGCATTCGTTTGTTAATCAACATGTCTAACCGTTAGTACCGAGTACTGGCAATCAGCATTCTTGGGTTACAGTCCCAGCTGTGCTATTGACTTTAGATGTGACTCTTGGGCAAGTCACTTAACCTCTCCATGCCTAACATTCCCAATGTATAAAATGGGTATAATAATGCAGAGGTTGATTGAGGCTTAGTTAAGTAAGACACAGAGTTGAGGATGGCCTATCTTGGGCGGGGAATAAGAGAAATTTCTCTGGGCATTTTCCCTGGATTGTTCCATCAAGGCTGGTGGGGGAAGTTAAACATGTTACTGAATGAGACTTTTGGCTCCCAAATGAAAACGCCCAATAAACCACCTGGCTCATGGAATGAAGGGGTCCTGCTGCCAAACCTTGGAGATCTTGAGAGAGTCACAGCAGACATAAGCCTTCTTGCAGGGCCTTCCTGTGCTGACTCTAGATCCCTGGCATGACCATGACATTTGTATGCCCCTTCATTCTTCAGTCACCATTCCAGAGGACATGCTTCCATGCTGAAGACGCTTGTTTAAAAAAAAAAAGTTAATTAAATTAGTGATTGAACTCCTAGAGGGAGAATTGTATGTCCCCTGCTCTGTTTTACCTGCATTCTGCCATATACTTCATGTTATAGCAGTTTCGAAGGATGACCCAGCACGTTGTTCATTTAAAGAACACTTTCACAGCAGATATGACAAAACGCAAAGAAGGTACCGATGTGAGATTTCTAAAGATAGCCACAGCATTCGACCCCAGGTTTAAGAATCTGAAGTGCCTTCCAGAATCTGAGAGGGACGAGGTGTTGAACTTGCTGTCAGAAGTCTTAAAAGACCAATACCCCGATGCAGAAACTACAGAACCCAAACCACCAAAAAAAGAAAATCAACCTTCTGCTGGTGGCATCTGACTCAGATGATAAAAAAGAATGTGCGACAGGCTGCATTGCTTTGGATTGTTATTGAGCAGAACCTGTCATCAGCATGGAAGCATGTCCTCTGGAATGGTGGTCAAAGCATGAAGGGGCATACGAATGTTTAGCATATCTGTTACATAAATACCTTGCAATGCCGGATGCAACAGTGCCATGCAAACGCCTGTTCTCACTTTCAGGTGACATTGTAAATAAGAAGCAGGCAGCATTATCTTCCATAAATGTAAACAAACTTGTTTGTCTTAGCGATAGGCTGAATAAGAAGTAGGACTGAGTGGACGTGTAGGCTCTAACGCAGGGGTCGGCAACATTTGGCACGCGGCTAGCCAGGGTAAGCACCTTGGCGGGCCGAGCCAGTTTATTTACCTGCTGTCGTGGCAGGTTCGGCCGATCGCAGCCCCCACTGGCCGCGGTTCGCCATCCCAGGCCAATGGGGGCGGCGGGAAGCCGCGGCCCAGCACATCCCTCACCCGCGCTGCTTCTCGCCACCCCCATTGGCCCAGGACGGCGAACCGCGGGCAGTGGGGGCCGCGATCGGCTGAACCTGCCACGTCAGCAGGTAAATAAACTGGCCCGGCCCGCCAGGGTAAGCATCCTGGCGAGCCGCGTGCCAAATGTTGCCGACCCCTGCTCTAACGTATACATTGTTCTGTTTTTGAGTGCAGTTATGTAAAAAAAATTCTACATTTGTAAGTTGCACATTCACAATAAAGAGATTGCACTACAGTACTTGTATGACGTGAATTGAAAAATACTATTTCTTTTGTTTATCATTTTTACAGTGCAAATATTTGTAATAAAAACTAATAATAGAAAGTGAGCACTGTACACTTTGTATTCTGTGTTGTAATTGAAATCAATGTATTTGAAAATGTAGAAAAACATCAAAAATATTTAAATAAACGGTATTCTATCATTAACTGTGCGATTAAAACTGCAATTAATCATGAATATTTTTTTATCTCATGATTAATTGCTATTACTTTTTTTAATCGTTGACAGCCCTAATAATTAGATTAGCCAAATTCTGTCCAGATTTGTTGGCGTCTATGAGAGTTTTGCCTGACCAAATAGTGAAATCAAAAGGGTTTTAAACAAAAACATTTGTTACTGAAGTATTAAGAACCTTTGTAACAGTATAGAGTGTTAAAATGTGTGATTTTTCACAGGCTTTTGGAACAGCTAAAATGGAAATTAGAGAGAAAGAAGCTGCTCTTAGGACAGGGAAGCAAAATTAGAGTTTGTTCTTCATTTTAACGTACCTGGTATTAGGATCAGTGTTATGACAGACATATGTTTATTAATGGACATTAAACAAATAATTTATTAGAATATGTGGTCAGGAAAATTGTCAGCATCTGGCGACAGATTTTTAGAAGTGCTGAAGTTTCACAATAATATTTAGAAATGCTGACAAGCATTGCTAATCTCAGAGAACTTGTGATTTTTGTGAGAGTGACTATCTGAACATTCATTGGACTGTGTCAGAAGACTCCAGACAGGGTTCTGTGGTGCTTGGTAAAGGGACCATGTGGGATGCACAAGGGTGAGGAGCAGTAGAGAGTCTCAATTCAATATGATCTGTTTACAAATGTCAGGACCTTGTTTCAGGGTGCCAACACCACCTGAGGGAGAGATCAGTGTTTCTAGAGTAACAAATGGCCAAATAAAAAAGTCCAAACCCTTTACCCAGCTTCTCTCGCTGTATCACAGTTCTCTTGTGGCTTTGTCAGTCTTCACCCTTCTCAGAGGTATAACAGCCCCTCACCCTGTCTCTCTCTCTGGGAGTCCAAGTTCAACTCTCACCTAAAGATATGCCAATCTTCATTCTTCTCCCTTCTCTAGGGTACAACAGCAACCCCTTACCACTAGCCCCTCAGAGTAAAAGGGGAGCTTGTGCCCTCCCTGTTCAACAAGTACCAGCCTTAGGGCCCTTAACAATGAAGGAAGCATTAGGTCTGAATCTGACCCCCAACTCTCCCTCCTCCTCTTCTCCTTCAAAGCTACTTCCTTTGCCTGGCCACAACCACCACCCTTCCTTGGAACTTCATGTAACTTTTCACTGGCTTTTTCAAAATGCCCAACTAAGGTTTTCCCAGGCCTCTCTCTCTCTCTCTCTGTAGAGACACCCACACCAGGTCTTGCTTCTTCCCTGGTCTCCCTTTCACACAGGAAAAGGAAGCACCTTATATCCATGACCCCTTTCATATCATGCACTGATGCAAGGCATACATCTCTCATCAGTGTTGGGAACTAGACCTCCTAGAATTCCACTCATTCTGTCCTGAACATGACAAAAGGCAGTGTCAGGCCTGTACCCTACCATAAAGGGTCAGCGTGCCCTGTTTTACAGGAATGCCAGCAACACCCAAGGCTTGTCAAAAGAAAGTTTAAAAACTCTTTTCCCATTGAAAAAGGAGTCTGCCACTGATATAGCTAATCTTGAAAAATACCACTGCTTGCTTCTTCTGCATCAGGTGATAGTAGAAGTTGATAGTAATAAATATAAATCAGAAGCTAAGAATTGTAGAAACCTGATAAGGGAAGCAAAAGGACAAAGGCCAACTCTATGGCTAGTAGAGTTAAGGACAACAAGGAGGAGATTTTAAAGTTTATTAGGAACAAAGAGAATCCTAACAATGGCATTGGTCCATTACTGTCTGGAAATAGAATTGTCAATAGTAATTCAGAAAAGGCAGAAGTAGTCAATAAATATTTCTGTATTATATCTGAGAAGAACAGTTAATGTAGTCATATTGTATGCTGACAGTATAACATTTTCCATTTCAATAACAACTCCTCAGGAGGATGTTAAACAGCAGCTACTAAATTGCATCCAAGAGTTTTAAAAGAGCTTATCAAAATGTTGATTTTCAATAACTCTTGAAACAGTGAGGAAATTCCAAAAGACTGCAAGAAAGCTAAAATTGTGCCAATATTTAAAAAGGGTAAATGGGATGACCTGGGTATGTAACAGAACAAATGTAAACCATTAAAAAGTGGCCACAGCACTTAAAAAAACGCTACTTTCATCTTATTAGAAGGCTATGGTGCACACCTTCTTGGTGAATAACAGGTTTTACTTGAGATGTACCCAAAGTTCCAGAAGGACATAGATTGCTCTTGCATCACTGGAATGAGAGTGAGAGGGGCACCAACACTTTATACTTCTATTCAAATTACACAGTAAGCCAAGTGGAAGTAAGTGTGGAATGGAAACCTTAATTACTAGTTCATCGTTAAATTGTTGTTATGGTTCCTAGCAAAAACCTGTATAGGGGTAGGATTCAGCTTAACAAGTTCAGTCTTAGATATGTGCGCATGTCTTAAATAAGTCTTGTGCTGGGAACTGAAAGGACTTTGAAACCGTATTTTTATTTCAAAACTCAAGTATGTGATACTATACAGTACAATACTAGCACACTTGTGCAAGGTCTTACAATGTTACAAATTTAAATAATATGATACACAAAAATAGTGCCCCTTTTCAATTCTTTCTACTAAAAACATCAGTGCTGTGCATGAGAAACAATAAACATGTCTTGTTGAAGCAGAAAAATAAATATTGCACCCCAAGAAAACTATTTCAGTATTAATAGTATAAATAATTGACCTATTGTTTGTAATCTGACATGCCTTATGAACACAGAGAATAGAAGTTTTCTTTTCAGATATAGTAAATTAAAATCAGACTGACAAAATTTGATTTTAGAATTTTTTGAGCACAACCCTAATTTTCACTAAACACAAAAGTATATTCATGAATTAGTTGAACAAGGTAAAGTATTTAATATGCTGTTACAGCCACCGTGGTGCTACTATTTTAAGTGAGCAGCTTAATTACAGTAAGTATAAAAATATCCCAAAATTATTTTTCACTTTATTTCATCTTTTAATCCCCTTTAAAACACCTTGCCCTTTCCCCATCCTTTCCCCCAAGCTGCTAATAACCAAAGAC